AAACCGTGAATACAACTCTACTATAAAACTGCTCGATCCGGAGCTGCTGAACCCTAAACCCTAAACCCTAAACCCTAAACCCTAAACCCTAAACCCTAAACCCTAAACCCCTAACAGAGGATTTCATTTGGGCAGCATCGCTCGGGCCGCTCTGATGTCGGCTCCATGCCGGTTTCTTCGTGGCGTGTGGCCCGGCTACGTCGGGTTTAGGGGTTTAGGGTTTAGGGTTTTCGGGTGTCGGGGCACGGAGCTCTGGGAAGTGTGGCTTTGGATTTTCACAGGGCTTCGGCATGATCAGACTAGGTGATTAGGCAAGCTCTGAAGTTACAGTAGGTCAGCGAGGAGAGCCAGGCCCACAATAATTGAGAAGCCGTTCGGTCGAAGTGCTGTGCTATCCGCCTTTGGGCAGCAAGCCGAGGATACAGATCTTCGTGCCAGACAGGCCAAACTTGGACAAGTCCTTGAACCAGCAATACCGCCTCTCGGCGGATGAGTTACGTGGAATGAAGTTGGGTTTGGGGATGCTCTCAGAGTATTGGGAGTGTTGGCCGGTCTTTTGCAGGAAGCATCCCTGAGGTATCGCCTTCTACCTCTTCTGGCCCTTGATTCAGATTGACCTGTACATCCTTCGCTTCTACAAAGACAGCGTGCTCGTGATGCTGGCGCTGAAGGGCTTCAAGTACATGGATTCTGCTAGACGGGTGGAAGGCTTGCTGAATCGGTCTCGGGGGAAGATCCCTCACCTCACGAAGTTCACTTCCAGGACGCCTTGCACAAATCTTTTCCGACTGCAGTCCTAAGTGAGTCCTGAGTCAGTGCTAACACACATCCTCGAGCTGCACGCCTCCTAGGGCTCAGGGCTGTAGTTGGGCCAACGCTAGCCCAGCCGACACAGGATTGAGGCCTTCCTGAAGGGCAGCATGGGCTTCACGAGCATGGTGTGGGCATTCTTCCTTTTTCGAGAGCCGCGGCAGGGCGCATACCACCAGGTGGAAACTCTGAGCATGAGCCTGGCTCCTATGTTAGTTCCCAGATTTTTCGGTGGGGTTTCAGTTTCGGGGCGGGCAAGGGCACCAGAGCTTTTCACTTTTGAGCTTCTGTTGAACAGTGAGTAAGAGTCAGCGAAGGAAGTCATCCATCACCCAAGTATGGGTTACCCCGGAGCATTCACCCCTTCTGGCGATGCCAGTGCTCTTGATGTTTGGACTGTGGGTTGGTGATGGCATGCTGCATCTGGTGACGATGTCCTCGAATGCCTTAACGATCTGCTACTGCATTGACGTGGAGATGGTGGGTGGTACCGAAACCGATGCCCTCTACGCCCCAGCCGGCCTCAAGCTGGTCTATCGAGACTTGGGCGGAGGCGAGTCCGAGCGCGAGCTTGCAGAGCTGATGGCAAACAATGCCATCATGCAGTAAAGCTCAGTAAAGCTCAGTAAAGTCAGGCATCTCAACATGGGGTCGCTTGAACTTAGCAGCCTTAGCAGCTTAGCAGTGCCGAGCCTTCCGAGCCTTCCAGACGCCCAAACGAGGCGTGACATTCTCTTTCGGGGCCAAAGAGCTTCGTTCCAGGAAGCTTCCAAAGCAGAAGGTCCTGCAATGCGCCTGCAGCTGTTGCAGCATCAGAAATGTACCGTTTGGTCTGGGGCATTCCATAGTTCGACACACATGATTACCCACATGGGCAACTCAGATAGAGCTCAAGGTATGAAATTTTGCGTCGCACGCCACGGTGCCCATTGGGTTGGCAGGTCAGGTGTTATGCAGGCAACACTTTCAGGACATGGCACAGCCATGTTGAGAAAGCCTTTGAGACTCCGCATGGTAAGAGAGGTAAAATTGACGGAGCTTGAACTCGCAGAGATCTAGCAGATTAAAGCGGTGGGCAGGGACGATTGGCTGCTGCTAGCAGATCTTACGATTATAGATTGTACATACAACTTTTTTTTTTCTTGAGTCGAGTCCCTTGTGAAAAAATAGTCTAACATTTGATTCTACTGTACGAGAATGTCCTAGGTGACATTGAACATCGCAGCAGCAGCCGGAACTGCAGGTGCGACATTTCTTCCGTGGTTACAACTTCACGGAAGAGGTTGCAGACCGTTTCTTTGAGTACTTGGACAAGGCGCGCCATTGTCAGGTTTGCCGATTACCCAGGATGACTATAAGAAATGTTTCTACGCCTGCGGGCTGGGTGCTCGATTAGTCAATTCCCCAGCATGTCGGCGGACGAAAGTAACAGTCGTCGACAGTCGTTCGACAGGCTAGGATGCTTCCCAGGGCCGACAGTCATCAGATAGGAAAGGGAGGAGCAGTAGTGGGCTCAACCCATTGTGGAACGGTAGAACCAGCTACTGTTGGTTGAGGGAGGAGCTAGGAGGCTGTGATGTCAGTTTGGGGTGAAGCTACGAGATCTCGTTCTCGAGATGCCAACGCCCCCCCGAAACTTCCAGAAGCTTAAAAGACAGGAACATACGAGACTACAGTGACTACAGGTTCTACTTCTACAGGCCTCAAAAAGCAGCCCGGAGAGCTCGAGTTGTGAGAGTCCAAACCCCCTATCTTGCATGGCAGGAGAAGCGGGGCATGCTTGACTATGCGAAGTTTGTCCGGAGCCCGTCAACTGCAGATCCACATGACGTAAGCCTCTAGGGAGGGACGGATGCCAGCAGGTTTAGTTCCCACCTTCGCCCATCGCCCGAGGTGAACTTCATTCGGCCGTTCCTGGAGGGTGCGATCAACGGCACACCCTTGACTGCGCGTGCGGTGCTCAAGTCTGACGTGGCTGTCGCTAGAAGAGATCACAAGTGCAGCTTAACTCACCAAAACGTGCAACCGTACACCTCCGATCCAAACCCCTGACTCCCCGAACCCCGGAACTTCAACCTTGACAGCACTGGGCCCCAGGACCCCTCGCATGGCAAGTCCGAAAGGGAGTGCCGAAGTCCGAGCTCCCTTATCCTCAACCCTGAACCCTAAACTCCGTGTCCCGACTCTCTACAAAGCCCAGAACCTCAGAAAGGATCCTTGCCTGCCTTGTGCGAGAGTGAGATTCGAAAACCGACCGAATTTGCGGGGCCTGGTCGGCCACCATTCTGCGAATAGCATCAGCCGCAGCAGCACGAGTCCTGAAACAACCGTCCAGCGGTCAGTAACTAAGAACGAACAGTGGTGAAACTCAGAGCTCAGAGGCAAGGCCAGAATATATACACAAAACAGCTCAGATGTGTCGTCACGTGCATCACAGAGATCCTTGAGTAGCATGCAACCTTCCTGCGGCTGATGTTTACGAGCAAGGTGAAGATATGGAACATTCTGACACTGCCACATTTTGTGTATGAGGTGGTGACATGTGGCGACGTGGTGACAAAGTGAAGACGATTTTGGGAACACAATAGAAGATATCCCCGCGAGTCATGCCGCCACGGGCGCAGCCTGCTCTGATTCCTGAGCTCTCTGTAGGGGTAGTCTTCGTATTCCTGCAGGGGCTCATGCACTGGAACAAGCCTTTTGGACGCTCTGTGCATGTTTGCACGCCTTGTCAAGCCTCGTGCAACACTAACAGTGACTAACAGATGTAACCCGGTTTCCAGTGATGCGAGCCTAGCAAGCGGAGTGAAGATTATCGTTGTAGGCCTCGCCGGGGAGTCCGAGTTGCAAGAGCCCCAAACCGATAGAGACCCTGCAGGAAGCAAGTGTAGGAGGCGAAAGCTCTCAGTTCTAAACCCGAACCCCAACCCCGTCTGTAGAGCCACAATGAAGACCAAGAGGAGATCTCACCAGCTGCCGCGGCGCGCGCCGGCCTCGGAGTGGTGCCGGTCGACACTTCCGGATTTTATTCGAGTTGGGTTGGGTCGGGGTGTCTAGGGTCAGGGCAGCCATGCTTGCATGCGTGTTGCGATTGTACTGCCATTTAAGTCTTTAAGTAGTTTTGAGTACTGCTGTTAATGAGTAGGCTCTCCGGGACAAGTTGAGGTTGAAGTTCAAGTTGTTGACGCAAGGGCAGGGATGTGAGACCTGGCCAACGAGAATCGGACTCTGTGGTATCAGACGGGCCTGGAAAGAAGGGAGGGAGCCCTAAACCCTAAGCCGTAACCCAAAGCCCAGCTATGCCCAAGTCGTTCTCGTTCCAAGCTCCATCGAGAGGCCAGATTCGGTCCTGGAGGACATGCTGGAGGTGGGGAAAATCCGGGGAGCACCCAGAGACTCCAAAACCCTTTAATTAAGAAATATATCTAAATCTTACTAGGTTCCTATTATAATTTAAGGTACATTCCCTAATTCAGGGGTTTTGGAGTCTCTGGGCATTGGGCTTTTCTCTGAGGTGACGCAATCGACCTCATGGCCTTGTCGTTCCGCTGAACTAGGTTGTCACTCGCCCTCGAAGTTCGTAAGCTGCGGCTCGAGAGACTCTGCCCTACGGGTAGCTTTCAATCCTTGTGGTATGGCTGCAGAGGCTTTTGCAACGGAATTCACAAAGGTTTTGAACCGGTTGGAAGTGCCATTCGAGATGACTGGCTCCCACAAGAAGCGTGCACCATGCGGGCCGAAGCCCACAGCTTTGCGTCCAGTCCGTGCCCGAAAGCTCCGGGGTCTTGCGGAGGAGGAGCGTGCCAACACGTTCGTCCAGAGCCTGATCGACGGTGCCTTGGCAGAGGAAGTGGATGTTGCCGGGGAAGACGTGACGTACTGCGACGAGTCGGATGAGGACACCGAGGACGAGGTCGTCAGCCTCACAGCTCCGAGCGATGACGAAGAGGAGGATGAGAGTTTAGGCTTGGCCAGCGTGGTGGCAGAGCGTGTCTTCCATGAAGCCTTCCTCCAGGACATGCAGATGCAGGAATTGCAGGAATCTGCGGAGGATGTTGATGACGATTTCGAGGACGAGTTTGTGGAAGTGGAAGAGGTCGGCGACGAGTTTGTCACGCAGCAGGGCATGGAGCACCTATGTGCAAAGCTTGGCGGGGAATTGCTCAGCAGCACCGTCGAGGCCGCGTGCAGAGGCACGCTTGCTGAGACCCTGGCTGAGGGTCGGCAGAAGCCTGAGATTGACATCGAAGCCATCGAAGCCCTTCGCCAGCAGGCCCGGTCCACGCTGGTTCGTGCTGCAGAAGACGGCAGTCTTGGAAAGGCGCTTCAGGAAGCTCAGGTGGAAACTCTCCGAGTTGAGACTCGAGACTGTTTGTTGGCAGCCGCCCGGGATGGCCGCCTTGCTGCAGCCTTGCAGCGTAAGATGGCAATCACGGAGGACAGCCCAGAAGAGCTCAGTGCGCAGGCCACGGCCAACACACCAGTCGATGTGCCTGCAAAGCCTCAACCGCTTGAAGAAGATGTCAAGGAGAAGCCGACGAGCACTTCTGCCATGCCAGATCTGCCGTTCTACTTGTGCCCCTCCGTTGGGACGTGGCTCAATCCCTTGGCCTTCCCGGTCCAAGTGCCTACAAAGCCTGAACCGGTTGAACAACTTGGAATGGGTGCGATGCCAGATCTTCGGGCGGCATGCCGCACAAAGCGACGCATCATCGGAGCGGTTGTTCGTGTGCCAAAAGAGTCCGTGCCAGAGGACTCCAGAACATCTGCCACCTCACCCAAGTCCAATCGTCCTTGGGTGATGGCCGGCTCTCCAGCAGCAGGCCTGCGTTTCAAGGAGCCCACCCGGAAGGAATCCGATGCGAGTCGAGAGGGTCCAAGAAAGTCCAGCATCGCGGCCATGTTTGAAGCCATGGGCAGTACCGAGCTCTACCGCACAGACGAGAAGTTCCCAGTGGGCAAGCTGACCATGCCTGGCATGTTGAAATCAGCGTCTGCTGGTTCTGTGTCGGCATTTGCCTTGGACCTGGGCACCACAGTCAGCTCACAGAAAGTCCTTGCCATGCCCTTCACAGCTGCTCGCTGCTCGTCAGTTGGCGCTTTGCGCTCCCTGAAGGCAGAAAAAGCAGGGAAGCATGACGGCACACTTCCTTTCCTTCAAAAGTCTGGCAACCGTCTTCCACAGGTAATGCCGAAGAAGATGCAGGCGTGGTGCTCCGCTCCATCCACGACGCTTCAAATGAAGTAGTCCGCTCAAGCGTGCATCCGTTTTCCAAATCAGTAAGGTCCCAGAGGGATGAAACTATCAGCTTTCTCAATTGGATTAAAGTCGACACTAGACGGAGGTATGAGGGACGGAAAGAGCATGACGGACCAAGCGAGGCTCTCTGCTCTTTCATGCTCCCCCAAAGCTCTTTCAAGATCCTTTCTTGAGCGTTAGAAGAGACTGGTCGTCGCGGGTTGCCAAGTTGTTTGGCCTTTATAGACTCTAAACTGTGTAGATTGTTTGATCTAGTGGTGTTTCTGCTTCAAGCAACGCGGCTGTGGCCGGGAGATCTTGCCGTTGCAGGCCTCCCTTAATGTCTCCACGCTCCTTACGTTCTGGAACAGTAACCGGTTGCCTTAGTGCACCGGCTGCACGGCAATGCAGGTCTTTGGCTGGTGAGTTGTCGGAATTCGGGGTTCTGCCGCATAGAGCCGCAGACCTTGCACACAGCAGCGTCGGCCATGCCAGATCAGTCTGATAAAAGAAAGGCACATGCTAAGCCGATGTGGCGTACTGATCGACAGGATGGACGGCGTTGAACGCAGTTTAAGTTGAAAAGCTCATTGTTTCCGGGTACCGGACACACTTGTCATGCGCAAAAAGACGGGGCGGCCCTAGTGGCATTGAAAGTGCGAGAACCTGTGCATGCACCCTTGAATGATTTCTACCGAAAGACCAAAAGTACGAGCCTGGTATGCAGGTCACCGACGAGCGCCAGGACCGGCCCGGACCTCGGACTTGGCACAAAAGCGCACGAGGTGTGCGAGGCCAATGAAGTTGCAGAACGTCTTGAAACCACCGAAATGCTCGACCAAGTCCAGTGTGCAAAACCTGCAAGCTTCAGCGATACTTCAGCCATTCCTGGCCACTTCTCTGGAATCCGGCGCTGGCTATGTGGTTGCTGTCTTTCTGGGTGCTAATAGTTTAAATGGCTTGTATGCTCCCTTGACCCACCCGGGCATGCTGCTACATCGCATGCCGTGCATGCAAGGTTGCACGAGTTCGACGGAAAGTTTCAGGCCAAGCCATGGGCTTTTCACTGGATTTGCCTTGGCAGCGCTCAGTAGTTGTGGCCGTGATTCTTCTTGTCTGAAAGTGCTTTTGTGGTCAGAGCTGGCGTCAAGCACTTGTCCAATCACGAACATTCAAGTTCTTCTATTGCTGTGTGCATTATCGCGGTAAATCTGCTGTAAATATAAATAGAGCTATAAATAACTCTATATATATATATATGTGTGTGTATATATATATACATATAGTTTTTTTTGTTTCGAGGTTCTGCTTGTATTGTCGAGGGTAGCGGACGCAGGGTGTTGCGATCACTACTCCTGCATGCCCTCCTGCCTCATTTCCTGTTGCTGCCAAACCGAAGACGCATCCTGCCACCCGACGGCCCACACAGTATATTACCAGGTTCTTACATGGTTTATTCCGGTAGAAATGAGCCGTAGTTGTGAGACCCTCTTGTCTTGATCCGTGCCTGCTTTGAGTGAATGTGCGAGCCGAAACCCTAGACTCTCGACCTTACGCCGATTTGTTGTGCCAATCGTGCACTTCCCAGGTACAGGAACCTGAACAGGTTAAGGGCCCTCCGAAACTTGCATCACCCTGAAGCCTGAGCATTTCCAAGCACAGTCAAACAGAAGTTTCCTACCAGTGAACCTTAACCTAATCTTTGGTCGACACCCTGTTTATGCCCATTTTTTCATGCATGTTTCGCAAGTAGAAGCTTGGAAAATCCATAATCCAAACGCTCAAGTCCTGGAATGCGTTCACCTGGAGCTGCTGGCAGGAATCTCCACCCTGTGTTATTATTAGTACGTGCCGTGCTTGTCAAAAATCTGCGTCAGTCCGCCTTAAACCCTAGGCCCTAAACCCTACCAGTGCAGTCTTGGAAGATTCTGTTGGAAGGAGTCACTGCGCATCCTCACCAGCAAGGACTGGAGCCTGCTGAGACCCCTGTCTTAGGGTCTAGGGCTTTGGGTTCGACTTCAGAGAGACCTCGTTCAAAAGGGTTTCAGCTGATTGGCAGAGTCTGGGTTCAAAAAAGGGTATGGGGTTCGACAGAGTACAGGTTCAACGAAAAGACAGCTATGGCCATCGTTTGTTGTGGCTAGGCTGTTACCGTATGTTGCTATGACTGTTGGGGTGCTAGCAATGCCGTCAAGACTGTCGCTCTGCGAGATAATGTGGTTGTAACCCGTTGTATCTTTAGTAATTTTTCGTTGTGCTTCCTTTCTACCATGGGCAATTTGCATGCATTGGTTGGTTGCAAGGAGTGTGGCATGGGTGTCAATGACATTGTGGATGTAATGTGTTATGAACGATTTGGAAACATGAACGGTAGTCAGTAGTCCTGACTCTCTCGTGTCGGTACTCTTGATATTGTTTCCATGTCATGTTTAGACTATAACTTCAGATGTTAGTAAGACTGCCGGTGTCGTTGAAAGTCGTGACCCGTGCGGGCATCACGAACGGCTAGCTTATTCAGAAGAGTCGGCTGTTCGGATCAGGATGCACGTCAAGAGACATTCGGTTATGATTGCTTAGGATTTAGAGGTCGGGATGATACTGAGTCGCATTCGTCTTATCAGTATTGTGATGCCTGCCATGTGAATAGTAGTGGGTATCTCAACAGATGCTTCGTACTACACTATGAACAGGGTATGTCTGGAATCCCGATCGCCCATGTCGTAGATGTCCTTTACTGCTTTTCCTACACTCACATACCTGCAGCAGCGGGTTTTGCTGGGAGGCACTGGATCGATTTGGCAGCCTTGCACACGCCTTTCGCTACGTGGCCGGGCCCCCAGCAGCTTCGGATTTTTGGGCTTCCGGGTGTGGGCGTCTGCCTGCGCAGCTCCATAAACTTCAACTCTGGAAGCAGGGTCTAGTGGGGATGTGTCTGTCACGGCGTAGTCCCTGAACCCCAAACCCCCCGGTAATTTTGGGGCCGCTGGGTTCGGGCTCTTCAGCGTTTGGACTTAGGGTTCTGGGGGTCAAGGCTAGGGTTCCCCAGGTCCATGTCTAGGAGCTTCCTTGGGCAATTTGATTCGTGGGGGCACCTCGTCGCTTCAGCAAAACCGACAAGACCTTCGTCGCGTTGGCTGAGGACCTGGACAGAAACTGCAACATGACCAGGCCAAGCTGTTCTGACACAAGTTTTTTTCAGGCAAAGTGGTCGCAGTGTTGCCACATGCTCCTGCATGCTTTCACGGTGAACCGGGTAGTAGTCACAGCCATGTCCGGGACAGTTGTTGCAGGAACGAAACGGAGTACCTCTTCCGCCTTTGCAACTTGCCAGCCGAGTGGGCCTTACACAAACTGGGTTGCTGGTAAGGAACTTAAAACAAGTTATTATAATAAGAAAGCCCTTGTATCCCCATTATGGTAACCCAAATTAAGTTCCTTAACAGCAACCCCGAAAACCGGTGGCTTGTGGTTGCTTTCCTGCGTTGTTTGAGCGGCATTCCTGGTATGGCCCGTGGTGCTGCCAGGAATTGGCTGTGAAGTTCCATGATGCAGTTGACACGAACGGGTCCGGCGAGATCTCACTGCAGGACTGGTGAATTTTGTTCATAGCAGCCGTTCCTGTGCACGGAGGTGTCCAACGATCGTCCCCCAAGACTAGACTCACTAGACATCTGCAGCGGGTCCCTTCTGCCGCCATTTGCCCAAGGAGTTTCACGCTGCCCTGGCGCCTTATCTCAGTGACGAGGCTTCCGCGGGTGACCTGATTCTGGCAGAGCCGAGTCGCTTGTCCTTGACAGGACCAGAAGCGGCAGCAGCTCAAGAAAAAGAAGGACCCGAATTCTTCCAGTGATTCTAGTGTCCCTGGATGACGCTCCCGTCAAGTCCGGCTATTATGGTCCCATACAAAGGTTTGCATGCGTCAATGATGCTTCTGCGATTGGGCCCAATGCTTAGGACACGTCATTTCCCGTGTGTTTGCGGTTGCTATGCAGTCCCAAATCTTCCTGATCAGACCGGGCCCTGGCAAGAGATCGTAACGCCTCCTTGCTGCAACTGTGCCTTCGTTTCACACTTCCCGTGGATCCATGGCCGGCGTCGTAAACTGGAATGGCCGCCGCGCCGGGGCCTCTGTGCGGCGAAAGTGGGGTGAGAGCCGAGGCTTCATGCCTGCGAGCCAAGGCTTTGCGTGGTGACCCGGTGCCGCCCCTGCCGGCGCAGCAGGTGGCAGCAGACAGCAGTGTCAGTAGTGTGAGGGCTGAGCATGGTCCTGGCGGAAGTGTAAATGCAGTTTTTGCGGCTTGCAGCAACTTTGTGGGAAGAAGTCTTGTTCTAGGACGAGTCCAGGCTAGGCCAGCCTGAGTTTTCGCACCCTTTGCCAGTCCTTTGCAAACCCTTCAAGGCTCGTGGTTTCGAATTCGAATCCTGCTTATTTCCAGTCCAAAGCGGCGACCTTCTCAGAGGTGGTTCTTCTCGGCGGGACCTCGTCGCCGGGTTCTCGCATGCGCACCGTCCCTCAGGAAAGTCCTGGGGTTCTAGGCCCGGATCTTGTCATGACTATGTGATCCAGCGCTGATACGGTTTCATGTCATGTGACGGTCATTGCGAGGGAGTCCCGCCTTGGCAGGTTACCACCCTGCCCTTCGAGCTCCGCAGCAGACGCGCGGGGTGCAAATTGCCGCCCCTTTGGCTTTTCCGGGCCGGTGCCCCACGAGTTCGAGCATCGAGATGCTGGCAATCTCTGCAGTGCAGCTGCCGCCCCAATGGATGGAGAAGCGGGATTCTGTTACCTTCTTCGCCGTGGATGTGATTTCAGAAAGTGGTGCTTCCTGGAGGGTCATGCGACGGTACACCGACTTCCTGGAGCTCAAGGACCAGCTTGGCCATGTCAGCTCCTCCTTCCCGGCAGCACGCTTCCCCAAGAAGCATTGCCTTAGCTGCGAGGGACAAAAGCTGGAGGTGCGACGAGAGGCTTTGGAGCTCTGGCTGCGCCGTGCCACGGAGCACCCGCGCAGTAGCGCCGAGTGGCTGGGACCTCTTCGTCGTTTCCTGGAGTCCGGCCGGAAGTTCATTACCACAGAATCAAGCGCATCGGCGCCCGCGGCCAACAACGATCAGATGGAGGACGACACATTGTTGGAGGTACTGGTGCCGCCCGGTGTTCGAGGAGGCGGGTGAGCACGATGTAGAGCATGACCAGTCAAGCATGACGAAACTCTTGATCTACATTACATGTCAGGCCAGCTTCTCACTGTCTCGATGCCAGATGGAAATATGAAAACCATCACCTTGCCCAAGGACATTGTCACATTTGATTCCGCTTGTTAAAGGTTCACACATTGTTGGAACACTTCGAGAGCTCAGCCAGTCCCTTGGCAGGACGCCGTGTGTGGCTCGCAGCTGAACTTTCGCTACAGCTACTCAAGACGAACTCTTTCACCGGTCGTGCCCAAGTAGTTAGGACTAGTAGGAGGCTTGGTCTCGCTAGTTGAACCGAATTCAGGACAGGTTGTGGATGCTTCACCACAAGAGAGTGCAGGTCCTCATCTTGATTTGAATGTTCTTGCTTCTTCTTGGCCTCCATGAAGGGGGTCTTCTCAATGGGCAGGCATGCAACTTCGCGATTCCAGCCACCTTAATAATTCTGGGTTTGCCGTGGTGGCAGTGAGAAAAGGATGGCTTGTGGCAGTGTGCGCATGGGCCTTGATCTTCTTCCGGACCGCAACCATGTTCTGCGTCTGCCGGTCTCCCACTTGGCGTCTCTCTGCCTGTGTTTGGCTCCGTGTGCTACTTCACAGGGCAGGGCTGTGTGTTTCAGGACTACCTGCTGAAGCCCTACACTCCCGAGCCGACCACCCCAGCGGAGCTCTCGCTGTCACACTTGTGCGAAGCACCTGCAGAGACAGAGTCAGGGCTACTGCGCTAAGTGTGGGCTAAGTCTGAATCTCTAGAGCTTCCCGTGGCCAAAGGCAAGCCGATGACGACCTGAGATCTGCAAGCAAACGCGCAGGGGCCTCTGTAGAGAAGAGCGGGATGATAAGGTGCTGCTTCGTCAAACAGGTGACACGTGACATGCCTTATAGAAGGCATCAGATGTGCATTTGTTCTTGTATCTTGGAGTGCTCATGCTGCAAAACTACACAGCATCCGTGACAGAAGGATATGTCTTCGGTCTTCAAGCAACAGATGCGACGTAGGGGCACACCATTTTTGCCGTCTACTGTATCAGTTTGTTTGTCTGTCTGTCGATCTGTCGTCCGTCTACACGTAGTCCGTCCGCCTGTCTGTTCGTCTGCTACATGTATGAACGAGGAATGATTCATGCATGCATTCATGATCATTCATGGATGGATGGATGGACGGATGGATGGACGGATGGACCGCATGTGGTTTTCGGCAAGAGCTTGTTTAGAGTATGCATGTGTTTGCATCTTGCTTTTGTTTCCCGGTCCTTGCGAATCAAGTAGACTTGGGCAGCGTAAATCAGTAAGATATTTGTGGGGACACTTCCCTATTTGTCTGTCTCGTTGTCTCTCCGAATTGCTGTCTATTCGTCTATCCGTTTGAGTGTCCATCTGTCTGGCTATCTGTCCGGCTATCTGTCAAAGTCTTATCTATCTGTCGTTTTGTCTCTCTATCTGTCTATCTATCTATCTATCTATCTGTCTGTCTATCTATCTATCTATCTATCTATCTATCTATCTACCTATTTAGCTTTCCACTTCTCCACCTCTCCGTCTACCCGTCTTTCAATCTATCTGTTTGTCTTATCTGTTTATGTAGATAGTTATCCATCTCTCCATCTAACCATCTATTGGTATGTCTTGCCACCCATGCGTATGCACCTGTATGTCCAGCGTTTGTAGGTTGCATGTGCTAACACACAGACGCATGATCTGTCTGCGGATGCTGTCCGACTTTGACCAGTCTTGGCTTGCCTTTGCAGTGTGTGTACACGCGTGCCAGGCACTGCACTCACTGTATGTTTGACCTCCAACTGCCTCTTTTAGCTATCAGCTTTTCTGTTCGTCGTATTATTCGTTTTGTTCAGCTCTTGTAGGTGCTGTCAGGGTAGCCAGAAGCTGGATGCAAAGCTTGTTTCTTGTGTGGACATCCTTCTTCATTGTTTGTGTCGAGGCGGCAAGCAAGGAGTGGAACAAACACGTGGACTTTGAGCTCAGGAACGAGCTGAGAAGGCTCATGCAGGACCGGTCCTGGCTTTGTAGATCCGTCGCTGTAGAGCCGGCACATGCTTGCCTCGACTCCCACCTCTTCTAACAGCTCTTGAGACCTCAAAAACTTGCAGATTTGCTGCCAGTGTAAATTTGACCTTGTGAAGGTTTGAGTCTTTCACCCGTCTGCTAGCCGACTTGCTCCGCCTCCACAAAATTCGCGCCCTTTGCCCAGACCACCCGCGCCTTGTCGTTGCCGTTTCCATGCGGAATGGAGTTTGAACCCTCGGGGTCGTCAATGCCTCGTCAAAGGTTTTTGGATGAGGCTGGAGAGGTAGGCCGAAGAACATATGGGACTCAAGGATTGATCTATCTGTTGTTGCAGACAGGAGGGTCTCACGAGGGCAAGGCTTTTCTGTGGAGGTTTGCGTTTGCAGTTGTGCACGGGTTTCGGTTTGACTTGCAGGACGTGGGCGACAAGTTGCTCCTCAAGTTTAAGCACGTCCGAGATGCCTTTAAACCACTGAACTTGCAGAGGCCTTGGGTTTGGGGTTTAGGAGATCTAGGCCTGTTGCAAAAAGGGGGCTTAGCATGCTAAACTTTAGCAAGTCTCAGCTGAAGTTGTTCAAGGTTTGATGAATTTGGGTGGCTTCAGCAGCTAGCAATCCTTGCGTTCAAGCTGCTGAAGTTGAACCAAGCTGCAGCATGTTGTTGTCTGATAGGGGCTTTGAGTTTGCATGTGGGTTGCTTAGCTTGCTAACGGGCTCTTGTTTAGTCGTTCCTGCTGCTCGTCTCAGTGGGTCTCAGGTCTTCGAGATGACAGGGGCCTGCATTTCCTGATAGGGCGGGCTAGGTTCGACGGTTGTCCTGATTCCGAGGACAGCAGGTACTATCCTCACTGGAACCAACGACCCAACCCTAAACCCTAAAGAGCCCTACACCGTCAGACGGCAGAGCCCCCGAGCCTGTCTGGAAGGCTGGGGAAGATCACGCGCGAGGAGATGCACAACTTCTTCCGAGGATTTGGCCACCCTCAGGCCGGAACTCTCGGAGGTCAGCCTGGGACTTCGGATGGTATGTTGCAAGGACCCCAGACCCGCAAGCCTTAGATCAGTCGGCTTCTATCCGGACATGTGTGGGAGGTTGGTGCCAGTAGTGCCGGCAAGTCTGAGAAGAACAACCTGTTGCTTTTGTTGCCTTTGATGCTTAGTGTGTGGCTGGGATGGCTGGGCTCGTCTTCGCAGTTCAATGTGTGTGATGGGCGGTTGACGGTTCCGGTAGGTCTACGTACGTCCATCATCAATCTCGACTTCAACTCCAAAATCCCATCTTGTAGTCTGAGCAGGAGGTGGCGGACAGAATATTCGACCTTCTGGACCAGGACGGTCTTCAGACGTCTTTTGATTCTGGTCTTGCCACTACTGCAGGATAGCTGGCAAAGGGATTGTATCTTCAATCCCTCGTGTGTTGAGCCGGAAGCATGGGAAAGCCTTCTGCTTCGTCCACTCATCCGAGAGCCTGCCCCGAAACCGCATGCACCCGGTACATTTTTGCGGATGCCAGGAAGGGAAGGGGGAGATCGAGTACTCTGTGTTCATGTCCCACTTCGAGTCCGTGCTCGGGTGCGGCAGCATCGAAGCCAAAGCAGCAAAACCCACGGATCCCGAAACTGCAAAGATCCCTAACCCTAGCCGCAAACCCTAAATTTCTACAGAGACCCTACACTCACCCTATGGTTGAGACCTCATGCAGCAAGTTCAAGTGTTGACAGCATGAACCCTACGTTTGTTGCCTGTGGGTGCTTGCCAGCCTCTCTTTCACCTCATCAGAACGTGTGGACATTTGCCGAAACCGCGAACTCCCAAACCCTACACTCTACACCTTCCATTGAGACTTTCTTGCATTGCTCCGGTGTATTTTCAAGACGGCAAGTGCTAGGAAGCCTCTCTGAGGGCCTGAACCCGCGCCCCAGAAACACCGGGGAGTAGGGGGTTCCCAATAGGGGTCAGGATTGCATGGAACTCCCATTTCTTGAGGGGAAGATCTGATTTTTGGGATTCATACTCCTCTTCTGAACCTCTAAGGATTGTAAAGGTCAAGATCGAGGTCTCCCTGAAACCCTAAGAGGTGCTCCCTACGCATCTCGGATGTGTCCCTGTTTGTACGCTGAAGGCATGATCAGGCGGTTCAGCACAGCGACTACTGACCACCGGAGTCCTGGTAGTTTAGCAGCTTAGCAGAGAGACCATAGGAATCGTGGGTAATGGATCGTAAGATCACGACCTTTACTCGGATACTTAGGGCCCACCGTCTGACCTCCGTAGCCCCGGATCCTCCCGAGTACACCCTACAACCTTGAAGGTATAACTATAACAACCCTTGCAGAACCTTGACGAACCCTTGTTGAGGTCTTATAGAACGCTTGTAAACCCTTAGCAGAACCTTCGTAAAGCTCTTATAAAAACCCGAACCCCCCCTCTCCCGCCTTCAAAAGAAAAAGCAAGGCTGCAACCTGAACCCGAAGCAGGCGGGACTTCCGCAATTTCTCAGAGCAGCCCCCGATCTATTTGGAGGATCCCATCAAGTGCAAGGAGGCCAGAGCACAAGAGGGCAATAATGATCAATGTGATGGCGACCAGAAGCATCAACACACATTGTCAGGAACAGGAAGAGTAACCACGACAGAACGAGCAGGAGCAAGTAAACAGAACCTAAGTAAGTTGTATGAGGACCCTAAACCCTAAACCCTAAACCCTAAACCCTAACGGCGACGGTGGAGACCTCTTTCGTGGCTCCAGATGAAGACTTCCGCGCCAGGTCAACGAAACCGCTGACAGCCTGAAGCTGCCGCCTAAGAGAAGCTTCACCACACGTCTTAAAGAAGCGGTGCGCAGAATGTGTGTGTATATATATATATGTATATTTATGCATATATACTGACATACACACAGATGTACATACATACATACATACATATATATATATGTATAGGTATATGCCTATGTATATATATATATACACACATACATATACATATACATACATATATTTATAAGATGTGTGTATATATACACATATATACTGACACAGACACAGTTGTACATACATATATACATACATACATATATGCATATATACATATACACATATGATTACATATGCACATATACACATGTAGACGTATATACATATATACATATCTGCAAATATACGTATATACATATATACATATATACACATACACATATATACATATATACATATCTGCATATCTGCATATCTACATATCTACATATATACATATATACATATATACACATATGCATAAATATATATATATATACATAGATATATGCATATATACATATATACACATATACATATCTATATATATATATGCAAGTATACGTATCTGTATATATACACACATATACACATGTGTACATATATATATATGAGTAAATATAAGATGCGTATGTATGTACATGTATATATATATATATGTATTCATTTATTTATATTTACGTATGGAGACAGGCAAACACGCAGCACATATACAAACGTACATACAACAGACATACATACATACATACATACATACATACATACATGCATGCATGCATACATACATACATACATACATACATACATACATACATGCATGCACACATACATACACATATGTCTACACGTACATATCACATACATACACTTATCCGTACGCAAACCTGCACACATAGTAGGTCAAGATACAAAAGACTGTTGCCAGGATGTGATTCACCTACCTACCTACCTACCTACCTACCTACCTACCCACCCACCCACCCACCCACCCACCCACCCACCTACCCTACCTACCTACCTACCTACCTACCTACCTACCTACCTACCTACCTACCTCGCTACCTCCCCACCCTACCTACCTACCTGCCTATCTGGGTGTATGTCTATGTACCGATCCATCTATCTATCTATCTAT